TTTATGACATCTGAAGTTCATGACTGGAATATTTGCAGGGGATTGCAGGGGACTGTTGCCACCGCAAGCAGCTGCGTTTCCTCCCAGTTGAAGGACAAGTGAGGCTCAACATCGGTGACTTTTCGGCCAAACCTTCAGACCTGGAACGAAAAGATCGAAAAGAAACCACATGGAACATAGGGTGTCAAGGACCTCCCTGTCACAAGACCTTCTTTCCTGAACCCCTCCCAAACCCCACCCAAATGACATAAACTGACATATCTGGCTGGAGCATGTTGTCTGCAAAATGGAATGGGTCAGCAATCTGAGAACAACTGGTCAACCCGTGCTGGATCTCCGGTCCGCCCTCGGCCCACAGTTCATGCTGCCTTCAAGAAGTTCAATACTTCTGCCTCAAACAAAAGAAAGGCAAATGACTGGGATTGTGAACGGGGGGCAAACAGAACCATGAGAACTGAACATTGGTGATGATTCATCTCAAATCATGGTGATTTGATCATGCAGTCTCACTGGAAAGCAAAGTGGCTTAGACGCCTGGTTCGTGAGAAGAAACCATCCTTCTGCCCAAGGCCTTGCAGCAATTACAGGACTCTTTGCTCCCAGGATGGCTTCATCATTCATGAGGTAGGTGAACTAAAGCCTGAACCGCAGGGAGGGCTCTCAAGTTCAGGCATTCAGGCGACAACATTTCAGGAGTGAACCTACTTTCTCGCCGTTTCGCCAGGTGCTTGTGAACTCCCCTGAGATCCGCTACATGGCCATAGCCCAGGTAATCGCGGAGGAAAGGCCTCAAGGTGAGGTGAGGTGAAACACTCTCCATGTGCTTGAAAAGAACATGGTCGAGTCTTGGTGTCTTTCCAACAGAACATTCAACAACAGTTCTTTTTCTCAGGATCTTAGTAGACCAGACTACATGAACTTTCCCACTATATCATGGAATCATGGGCTCTTCAAACCCACACTGCTGAGGAAAACCTTATTTGTATAGAAGCAACAAACATGATCAACCTTAGCATCTGGACGACGATGGACCAACCAAGTTGGATGGTGGTCATGGAAATGGTCACAGCAGAAGGAGACAACCTTCCATCCCTCCAGTGATAAAGATGTTGAGTTTCTCGGCTGCTGCAGTCAAGTACGCTTACCACTACCAATGCGGCCTCCCACGGCTGTGGCGAGGCTACGCAAACTGGGACCCAAGGACGATGCCAGCATAGGCATAGACTACCATTTTGTTGAAACTATTGCATTGAGTGTTTTGTTATTGCAATATGTCACATTATGTCACATGGTTTCAGTGTGTTTTCTTTAAAGTGCAGCCATGGTCTTTTGTGCAACTCCACGGTCTACGCTTGATGAACAAATCCTGCCCCACCCCAAATGGATCAAAAAGGATGAGTTCTATCTATCCAGAAGAGGGCATCACAGTAGACTAGTGACTAGTAGGTTGCCACTCCACCTTATTTTGCGATGACCCATCAACTCATTGAGAATATTTTCTTGGCTTCTCTGTAACTCACTTGCAACATGTCCCAAGTTCCAAGAGTCACACAAAAAAAGCAAGTATACATCAAAACTCCGCTCCAGTTTTTCTTGGATCTTCCCGGTTTTTGGGATGATTCGTTGGGGAGGGATCAGCGTTTTGCGTCCTTTTCACTCCACGTTCTTCACTCCCTGAGATCGCCGCAGCAGGTCCTCACGGCCCAGCAGGCCATCCCCATCGGCATCGATCTGCAAGCGACCACAGATCACGTGTTTTGATCCTTATGGGTGCGTATGAGAAGATGGAGACCTGAAGGCTAGATCGTGCCAGTGGATGTCAATCTCTGTGTTTTTTGTGTGTCAGGGTCGACCTGGTGTTGTCCTTTTTGTCTCTTTTCAATACTTAAAGCCATTACTGTAGGTGTTTCTTTACAAAGGGCGAATCTTGGAAAGACCCTTCAGCTTGCCAACGCCTCCCTATCCACTTTGTTGATATGAGTCCGAACAGACAAAACAACAGCGGTACTTAGTACTTATACATTGACTGCTCAGATCTTTTCAGTATATTCCATTATATTCATGTTCGAGATCGACTAGGGTCTCGATGGGTCTTGGGGTTTTGACTCAGATGGTACTGTACCTTGACGGGCAATATACAATAACGACTACAGTGACGATAAATGCTTTGAAACACGAGCATCAGCTAGCCCGAAACAGGTTGATTGAGGGTTCTTTAAACTTTAAACCGCAACTATGGTTGAACTACCAGCACGATCTTGATGTTTTAAGCCTGTAACGGGCTCCTAGAGAAGTGTGGGAATGTAGGTATGAAGTTCTGCACATTTCTGAAGTCTTTTCTTCAAAGGTCCAGGTATAATTCCTGAAAGGACTTGGGATGTGCCCTTTTGCAGGTATGTTCAGCAGCCCCGAATCAAGACGGAGCATCTGACCAATCTGTACCAGCGGAGACCACCCATGCAAGCGTCCTTGCTCCTAGTAGTATGGCCAGGAGCCCCTAGTAGCGTAATTGCTCCTAGCAGCGATGCCAGGAGCCCCTAGTAGCCACCCATGCACATCGCCCGAGACGCATCAGGAACTTGCTGCCTCGTCGAATAGCTTGCTGGCATCCTTCAAGCCTCACAATCGTGTCGCAAGAGACTCAGGATGGTTTAGGACTCCATGGATTTCATTTGGGGTGAGCCCACTGGACCAGTTCTTCCACATTCTTGCGGCATGTGCTGGGCGGCCGGATGTGCCTCCTTCGAGTGCGGAAATAGCTTTAACCCATCGAAACCAAAACCTGTCCAGTCCAGATTAACATGACCGTGGTGATCGGACATGACCGTGGCCAGCCATTCCCCCAACGTCCAAGCTCGTCGGTCCCTCACGGGGCACCCGCCACCGGAGATCGTTCCCATCTCGCGTGATCTGTGTCCGCCCAGAACGTTACCTTTGGCTCTGACGGTGTAGAACCGCGTCTGCGGTGTAGAACCGCAGTTTCTGAGAGTTGCTGCAGAACATGGTGAGTTTCTAGCTGACGGAAAAAACAAACAAACACATAGTTATCCGCTGAAGACAGGGCTCCTGGGCGACTTGAGTAGACACCATGACGACGTTGTAACAGCTGCCTTTCTCACACTTCTCTCAGCTTGATTCGTGTGCAACAGCTAATTTCATGCACTTGCTATTGTGGCTCATGTACACCGTGGAGATTGATCTTGCCCAAAAGCTGCCCAGGATGATACATAAAAACATTACAAACCATGTTACCTAGAGCCCCAAAGCCCTGATAGATTAAATCCATTTAAGTGCCATATATTCTATTCATTTTCGGTGGTCAAGCAGGGTGTCCTGGTGCCATGACCCACAGCTACCCCCAGGCGATCCAGATTGGACACCCCACGGAAGAAGGGCGACTTCCCGACCAGCTTCGAGGGCCTTGGATGAAACGTATGTCATGTGAGTCATATGTGTCAAAACCTGGACCATACATACAGTACAGACAATACGTACGGCTACACCCAAGAGAACTTATCAATCTCCTACTGCACATCCAACTTTTACAATGGAGTCCTGGAGTATGCACACCCGACAAAGAGAGTTTCTGCGCCACTGGACTTAGACTGGCACAAAACAAATAGTCTGCAAGTGGCTATGAGTGCAATCCTGCTGCTAAAGTGTTTAACGACTTCGACTTCAACAACTGCTTAAATGCAACGAACAATTTACAGGCTTTGTTTCAAGTGAGATTCGTTGCTCAGCTGCAGCCTCCCACATGTACCCCTTCAAAACTCTTGGCTTGAATTCCGAAGACCATGACAAGCTCCTCACACAAAAAAGAACACAACTAATTAATTGGCTAGCGATTTTGTCCGTGACGTCTGAGAATCTGGAGGTACAGAAATAGGACAATGCATCGATTGCACATGAAAACCGTGGTCAATGAAAATCAATGAATGGTTCTGGGCGACTTTACCAAAGTGAAGGCGTACGAGGTAAGCACAGCGGGATATACAAACGTGGAACGTCCGTATTCTTGAGAGCACACTAATCGTTATGGACCACGTTCCAGCACCTACACTTCTTTACAGTCCATTCCCTTATCTGCTGATCAATTCTGCAAGTAACTGAAAGGACACGCATACTGCGCATCAACTTGCTGACAAGACCAAACATACTATTTATACCTCCCTCAAGAGCACTTGCCAAATTTGTTCTAATGTCACAGGGGTTGGCTCAACTGTCCGGCAACTCCTTCGTTGGAAAAGTTGAGGGCCCGCAGCACAAACCAGGTCATCGTACAGCAAAAAGAGTCCCCCACAGGTTGCCACCCAAGAATAAATTTGCAACTTTTGGATGAAGTATACTTTGAATCACATTTCCCAAGTCTCCTTAGTCTCCAAGGTGACGGAACTATATAGTCATAGCCAGTCATAGCTGGACAGGGTCCCTCTCTACCAAGCTGCACCCCGCAGGCTGGAATGTGGGGTCTAAAACACTACAAGAAACGAACAAACGGATCTATCACTAATCACTACCCGACCCAGTCAAGACTGTCAAGACTGTTGAAAAGACTAAGGAAAAAGGAATCCTCCACTCCACTGTCCACAATTGAGACAGGGAACACCCCAATATCCACAGGCTTTCGTTCTTCCTGGCTCTTGGTGATAAAACCCGACGGTTGCATAATATCTACACTCCAACCAAACAAACAATACCACCGAAACGGAAACTTCCTGCCAAACTCGCCCAAAACACTGTTGAGGCTTGGAGACTTGGACCGCCTGGCCGCAACGTCGGAGTCGGGCACCAAATGCGGAGAGCAAGCAGGGAAGGAGTGGTACCAAATCAACTGTAGTAACCCTAGGGCACCAGTCGTACCTCCTCAAAAGGTATCTCGACCCTCTGAACCCACCCCAAACACCTTCTGAGAAGGTACTTGGAGCCCTAGGGTAGGGGTGATGTCAACTTGTCAAGCCTTTTTTGTTGGCTTCCTGGGAGCGAGCTCAAGGGCTCATCATGCATGCGCACACCCGAACTCTTCGCACGATGCGCCGAATGACGCAAACTCCTCTGATCGGCCTCTTAGATCCACGGCATATAAGCCCGCAAGAAAATGCATGATGTAGCTTGAAATCTGCTATCTTGGCACATGTGCGGTGCAGCTCCCATGTCTTTTTTCTCCAGCCATGTCTCGATCGCGTGGTTCACTAGCTCCGCTTTCTGCACCTGGCAGAATCCCAAAACTCTCCGGCGGGTGAGCACTCGACCGCATCTTCACATCAGAAGTGAGAAAAGGATAGAAAAGGCATTTCCTCTGATTTACCAGCTCAAAGCAAAATCCAAGGGTTCCAGCACATGTCGAGCAATTCCCTAGAGGCATTTGAGAGGGGAAGCGGGACACACTCGGTTGCCCTTTTGTAGTGCAAAAACTGGTTGCTTCCGGACCTCCGGGCGCTTTGTTTTCTCCAGCACAAAGCAAGGAGTCTTGCAGTTTTCCTCGAACATTACTACATGAAGTCCCCCCTATGTCCCCCAAAACTAGGTGTGTGTATATACATATATAAATATATATATCATATCATATTATATTATATTATATTATAACTATATTGTTATATTATATTGTATTATTATTATACATTACTATACTATATTTATTATATAGTATGTAATATAGTATGTATGTATGCTTGAATGATGTTCTTGGCTAATCATGGCCAATGCCACAATAGCGGTCTCAAGGCCTTTTCGCAGCATCCGACAGCATCCGAACATCTTTGGACGACCTGTGACGGGCCGTCAGACCAGTAACCCTCAACCGCAGCTAGTACGTTGTACCAGGTCTGGACCTCAGAAGTGTATCTCAACTCCTGGAGTACCCAACTCCCCAGATTCGACCCCATCCGATCTCGGAGTCTCGGAGTCTCGGAGTCTCGTGCCTGTAACCAATGTCCTGGGCCAGGGAACATCCATGGAGGATTCGGATTTCACGTGGAGGCCTGATGAGTCCAATTGTTCCCTCTAAATGGCCATACGATCCCCTCACATATGCACGAGCACTTGTTTTCAACCTCAGTGGCACGATCCTGGAACCCACGTTGGTCAATCACCCAGTATCTCAAAGTACTTGGTCTTGGAATGTCCCAGATTTTAGCATTTACCTAGTTTCTTGATCATCTTGATCTTTCTTGCATGATAGATAAGAAAGAACCATAGATTGATCGATCAATCAATTGGTACATCCTTTGTATAGCACCTCTGACCCATCACAAACACACGGCTGCAGCAACCGCCCTATAGGTGCAAGCAAACTGAAACTGGTCAGGAAAAATCGTACTCGTACCCGTTCTCTGGTGATCTCATCGCTTACTCCGCTTCTTGCCCTCCATGCACTACATTGTGCAAACATGTAAGCATAAGCATGCATAACTGCTGCGGAACATAATAAATGCGTGGATCTTCGGGATTCACCTTAAGCAGCTGGAAAGCCTTCCCCTTCACTCGATTGACATCTCTCCTGCGTTCACAGGGATCACCTCGCAGTCACTGCGCGACCTCAAGTGCCGCTCCCAGGCTGCACTGTGAAACCTCGGGTGGACCAAGCACGTGGATCCTAGCAAATCCCTCTGAGATCCAAATTATATATATAATTCTATAGATCTTATCTTGCTTTATATAAGGATGTTGTTTAGGTCTATAATGGTCTATACTATATACGATCTTTGGCAACACTGGTTGCAGGTTGCGGTGGCAGAATCTACTTGCGTGGTCATGTGTTCAACAACAATTTGGTTTGTGCATGCTCATGCACTCTATTTTTCTTCCTTGGTATCCTTTCTGTCTGACTATATGTATAATACTTTATAATATTGTATAATAATGTATTTGTTGTGAACCGACGACCTTCGGCCGGCAAATTCCATGGCAGGTGCCTCGAAGTGGCTCCTTCGGATGGGGCATTTGCGTGTCACCGTGTCACATTTGTCAGTTCGATCTTTGGTCTGAAAAATGGAAGTAAACCCACGGCGACTGGAAAAATGCACAGCCAAGTAATTGTTCAACTTAGCCACTCACCAAAGTCAACACCACTGGACTGTTGACGACTGCTGGTGGGGAACTCTTGCATTGAAAGTATCTGGACATTTGCAGCAGTTCTGGTGCCTCGTCCCTCCAAATATCCAATTCAGTTTTCTTTCTCTAGACTGATTTCATTTCTACCCACCATATGAGGAGGTTTTTACAATCCACGTCTTTGGAGGTTGTAAGAATCAAGAGTTGAAGCTTTATTTTGTATATTTATATCCATGGTTTGGGGCACTGAAGGCTGATTTGCCAAAGTCATTAGGAAGTGTAACCTTTGTGAAACCATGTGTGAGGTCGAGAGACTGGATACTGATGGAGCCCTGTAGGTGTTGAGGTCCATCGAGTTTGAACATGTAAAAACATATGCAACACTCAAACAAACAGGATCAAGGGTTATTCTCATTTTGAAAGCTGACTGCAGTCGACTGGGGTATCTTCAGCATTCAGCAAGGTCATAAGGTACAACACACACCTTAAACTGTTGCCTACTATTCGTTGATCAGGTTGATGGTCAATCTTGCAATAGGGTTCAACAACCTAAATGACATCATATCTGATCACATAGTCAGCTGAGGGACATGTAGGGCTTGCGCTTCCCATACCTCAGAACGCGGACTGTCCTGTGATGAAATCTGTTGCATCTGCACTCAAGAAACCACATCACCTTCTACTACTGATCACTATACATTTGTTTATGACATTTTGTAACAACATGTGACAACAGAACTGCACATCGATGGAATCTTTGGCCGACATGTCAGCGGAATTCCTGAACTTTGCTTGAAACGTCATGCACTCTGACATCAAGGAATATGCACTGGTCCACAATGGAAGGAAGGCGTTTTATTCGAAACAATACACAACACAGCTTTCTGAAACGAGTGGAGTGATGTTCTCGAACCACCCAGACTGCCCATACACCGCAACCAGAACCCTGCGACTTGGAGCTCAGGAGGATATACACATACCAGCAGCTCCAAAGGGGTGCCTGTTGAGGGCCTGTTGAGGATAGGGGTGCCCACGATCCACTCACTGGATGAGACTAAACACCACCGAACATGTAACTTCTAGAAATAAGTCTAAGTAGTGTGAGATGTTGTGGCCCGCGCAAGTCGTAAGCCTGTCAGCCTGTCTCACATCTGCCTCATAGACCCTCCCCCAACCAGTCTCCCGCTAGGTTCCATGCATTCCGTTGGAACGTTCCATGGTCTAGTCCTGCTTGTAAAAGAACAAAAGTATTTCCTGTGGCCCAGACCATGACTTCCACGACTCCATGCTAGTCTGGGTTGCTTAGATATCGTGCAGTATAGTATGTGTTGGGCACACCTACTGTCACAATATCCTGGTGTTCCAGCAGATTCACATCCCAGGCACATGAAGAGGCACGGGCAGGATGGCAACACTGCACCTGGTCCACCGGATGCGGGAACTGGCTATGAAGACAAATCTATTGCACCCTTGGTTTCAATCTGGCATGATCAGGGGACCACACAGGCTAATCTCATAGATCGGTGGCTATCTGTTACTACTATCTTTCGTTACTCCAAAGAACCTTGCTGTTTGCGAGACGCTTCCAGGGAAATGAATCACTGCAAAGGTGAGGTCAGGAAATGCAGGCCAAATGCACCGTCTGCTCCAACCTCTGTGATTTTTTTAGACAATGATTCATCGGAATCATGTTTAAGTTTTGTGTTGACGTACTCTACTCATCCCTGCTCCAACTGCTTGCCCTTGCCCTGCTTCTTATTTCTCTTGATACTTCCTGTTCTTCCCATGAAACAAATGTCCGATCGCAGGCCAGGTCACCAGCGGTCAGCTTCGGCTCGCGAAAACCCAGTCCAGTCAAAAAGTGAACGTATGGATAAGAAGCCTCAGTGTCACACGCCCGTGTACCCTCAGGTGTTGTCTATGGTGGTATCATCAGGGATTGCAATTGTATCATCTTCTTGATTGCATCTTGGCATTCGGCCCGCGAGTGGCAGCCGCAAACGAACGAAGGAGACCGCAACCACACATCTAATGCAGAGCCAGGAACACACTTTACCACAACGGAAAGGGATGGATGGAATCTGGAGTGAAACAGTTTAAGTATCTGAGCTCCAGATTCCAGCCAGCCAATTTCCGTCAAGAGGCCCGAATGCAATCTTGCACCCGATCAGGCCGAAGGCTGTGCTGGCCGGCTGCTACAGTCTTGGGGGTTCTCCGATCATCCTTTTCAAGGAAGAACCAGCCGAACACAGCAGCCCAGGTACATCGGCGGTGATCCGCTTGCTGCCATAGCCAATGAACTTGGTGAAGGCACCTCGTCCCAGAACGGCGATCCAGCCGATCCGAGCATCAAAGCTGAGGCTGAGGAAGCCCCGGATCGGGCGGGCCGGAGCATCTTTGCTTTGATTTCTCCAGTCCCCGTCAATGGGGAGCTTGGATTGTGCACTCATTTTATCTCATTTTCAGTACTATCGACTATAGACCAAATCCGAGAAACTCCCAAAACGTACACCAAATCTCTTCAACCATCGCCGCAGCCGCTCTCTTTTCAGATGTCTCTCACCTTCGCCACGGCACGGATCATCCAGTCCGCCACAGCTTGACCCCAGCGTCGAAATGGAGACCCCAGGCGTGCCTGGAGAGGACATGGTCGAGAAGAGTCTGAACTGGAGTAGTTGAAGCACCGGTACTTTAAGAACAATGCCAGGTTACAAAAAGGACTTGGATAATGTTATAGACAGTATACGAAATTGTATTACAACATTATACAAATGCAATCAACTATAGACCTATTTTGAGGTGATTGTCCAGGATTCCAGCATCCATTTAGTCATATTAATATTTCATACTATTTCATATGATTTAATATTCTTGCCATGGTTCCAATCCAACAACCTCCATCGTTCAATCTTCTGAATCCCTGACCAAGTGTTTTCGTTCTAGCAAGTCCCCCAAATGACCATGTACAAGCGACGAAGGCAGTTTTGGGCCAGGCTACAGGCGACTCGACTCCCAAAACAAGCGCCGTTCCTCCCATCAGGATTCTATCATTATCCCTCTACCAGGTGTTGGTGAGCTTTCTGGACATACCCAAGTCCATGGCCACCAAATTAACTACACCCATCCCCCAAAAAACAAACAACCTGTAAGAAGTCCAACTAATTCCAGTCCAACTCGCTCAAACACGCGACCGCCCCCGTCCGAGCCACGGAGACGCGCAGAAGGAAATAGGCCGTCAAGGGCCAAAACTGATAGGTCAGCAAGGCCACCGACACCTTCTCCTCGGGACGGGTCCCTCCGCCCGCCCGCCCGCCCGCTCTCGTCACTTTCTCGGTCACTTTCCAAAGCAACAAATGCTTGCGATGCACGTCCAGGAAAAGCACCGCACGTGGTCCAACCACAGTCCTATCCCCTCACAAACACAAACACTCTGACAATTGTATTCAGTTACACTCAGTTCCCAGGTCGAAAATGGTGAGGGAACAGCATGGCGAGAAAGTCAGTTCACTTGAAGGTTGAACAAGTTGTTTTT